TACTACTGGAAAAATTAAACTCATCTTGTTTCCAAAATTTTACTGGGACAAAATAATTGCGATATTCTCTGCACCGTCACCTGTACAAAATTATGCTAATATAGGACTAAATAAGGAGGAGTAGCACAGAATTTTTCCCGTGTTTTGTAGAATGAGATAATATTCGCTTAGTATTTATTTGCCGTCTACAAGAAGGCGCGCTTCTCCTTATACTCATTTTATAATAATAAAATACACGATCTGATCAAAATGCGTCAAGGAATATATATGCAATTATTATTAAAAACAAAGAAAACAGAAAAATGTTGCATTTTAGAGATACAAGATATTTATCAAGAACAAGTGGAACGCGTCCATTTTTCACTGAGGGCAGTGAGATCTTTATGTTGATCATCCGGACGCGCTAGGACAAATAATTATGTAAGCTTCTGTATACATGGACACTATTAAACTTTTCTGCTTATCATAACAAAATTCTTTACTTTCTGTGAGAGGAATAGAATTATTTATATTTATTCTTAATCATATTATTCCGACAAAGTAGTCTAATATTATACATTTCCTTTCCAGTCATATTAAAAATGAACAGAGGAAGAGTACACTTATTCATACTCTAGTAAGAAATTAATTGATACGGAATTATGAATATCTGCTGAAATTATAAAGGGGAGATTTTAACCGTGAATAATTTACGTTATCATATAACATTTAGAAAATTAATTCATTTGTTATTTTTCTGTTTGTTTAATTCTTACATTTTGAAGTGATTTATTTTTATTTGTACATAATAATTTAAAAACGCTAGAAATATGAAGCATAAGAAATGATAAATTTATACAAATAGGAATTACGTAATGAATTTTACTGATGATTGGCGTACAAAACATATAAAATATTCTTGTCCTACTCATGAAATCATTACCAAAAAAAGGAGATAAATTGTAAAATTGAGCTGTTCTGTACCGTGAGCAGTGACATATACATCCTTTCCAATAACAGCGCGCCGTGGTTACGATGACGTGGGTATAATAGAAGATATTAATTTTTTCTTTCCATGTATCGTTGAGTACAGTTTTAACAATAAAATTCCCTTAACATGTAAGGAAGTAGCATAATTAATAATAAATATACATTCCTCATTTCTACTGTGAGCCTCATAAATCCCACGAAAGTCACTGCGCCGTAGTTCGTACGCCGAATTTAATAAATAAGCCTCCATTTGCAAGTGATTTCCAACAGAAATCAGGAGCTATAACATAGGGAAAAATAAAAGATACCTACGATTAAAAGAGGAAGGAGAAATATAAGGATAAAAGCATCTAAGCAGGTGAAACATTGAGAAGGAATTCCGATCTGAGTAACAACATATACCTGGGATCTATGAGAACAAAATATGATGTTCTGCAATTGTTGAGAGAGATAAATCAATGCTGTGACAAAGCAGCTTTACAAATTTTATCGATAACTGTATAACTTGAAAAGACGTCTAAGCATGAATAAGAGGTTGTTCGTAAGAGAAATTCCTGGTACATGGAAGGTGTCTATATTTTTTCACATCCTAAATAGATTATTACACAGAGCAATCACCGTAATACTGCGTATAAGAGATATCTTTTTCTCATGTCTTTTCTTATCATAAGTATATATGGCATTTAATGTGATAGGTAGACATGTATGGGGTGCCATTTATTTTCCATATAGTTTTTATTCAATAATGAAAGGAATCAGATGTAACATGGTATCATGTAACAGTCCTGAACTGTCCTATCGTGTGTATAGTTCCTTTATGAAGGATTCTTTTTTGGATAGATAGAGTCAGAACCTTCCTTAAATGGCTGTTTACTGTATTACTAATTCTATAATCATGGCAAATGAACCCGGATAAATATAATATTTCCGATGTACGAGGAATACGAAGAATGTGAATCTGCTTCATATGTGTCTTTTCATATTTTTACTGTTTTATAACTCATTCTAAATATGTTTCCTTAAGTATAAGGGATATTTTCTTGATGAAGTACTTACGCTTCTTTTTCTATTATTTTCTCTGTTACCCTTTGGAAATATATTGCATGTGTG